TTGATGAGGCTGAAAGACTCGCAACAAGTTGTTGCAGCAAGTCTGATATCACCTGCATGTAACAAGTTGCTAACAAGCTGACGACAACAAGCTCGTACACATACATGTACTGTAGCAACTTGTTACGAACAGCTTGTATTAGTCTTGTTGGAACAACTTGTAGCAAGTCTGTTACCGTCATCAACCTTGTAACAAGACGATAATGACATGTTCCATACTTGTCACAACAACTGCAAACAAGCAACGTGGACACGTCCTGATATCGGCCTGACAACAATCTTGTTCCAACTTGTTTGCAGATTTGTAAAAACTTGCGCGTTTTTACGTGTAGGCAAGACCTCTGCGTAAGCGGGTCCATTGTGAGTAGGCTCGTATTTGATATAATTGAACTGTTTTGTAGGTTTCGCTGGCTATGTGCTGTGTACACGTGTTTTCTGGTTGGTGCCGCAGCAACTGTTGTCCTTACTGATGTTGGGAAATACTCGATTGGAAGACTGCGGCCACATTTCCTTGCAGTTTGTAAACCTGATTTCTCCAAACTCAACTGCACAACGGGATTTCAAAAGAACTTTATAACAGATTATGAATGCACTGGAGATGAAGATCTTATAAAGGAAGCAAGACTTTCCTTTCCATCAGGACATTCGTCTTTTGCAGGTATGATATATACCAGGGAGATTAGAGCTTGCTTTCAGGGAGAGACTATACAGTAGTCGTCCAGATTCTGTTTTCAACAATAAAATGCACTGATTGTGTACAGTACTGTAAGTAACTTCGTTACAAGTAACGGCATTACAAGCACTGTAATCGGCATACCTGTAGATTTTATTGTTGTGGAGGTAGCCAATCTTTAAATGGAGCTAGACTATGCCACATTCTCGTACCCAGAGCCCGTCTTACACGCGATCAACAGAGCATGACAAGGGTAGCAGGTACGATCGGCAGTTGCGCTGCATTTGCCGCAACTGCAGATCAAAATTTAGCTGTGCTATATGTTGATTTTAAAGACTGTTAGAAGGTTGAAGCTTTTACAGATGGCAAGTACTATTGTCTTAAGTTATGATGTAACTGTCACTGTAGTGTAGCTACATGTAAGTGTAATTACATTTTGACTTTAGTTACTTGTCTGACCAGTGTTTACTGTACTGTACTGTTTTCGTTATATTTTTCACGTTAATTTTAAAATATTAAATATTAATAGTACTTGCTGTTTTATTTATGCTATCAACTTTTATCATGTTAATGCATGTCGTCGCTGCTCGCTAGTCGATAAACTAATTCACTGTACAATAACTCCCCTGCCTATTTGCCGGCTTGCAGTTGGGTTATTCTACAAAACTTGCAAAATTATTTGAAAACATAAATCTGCCATTGCTTCTATACTGAAAATTGTTTAAAAAGTTAAGAAGCTTCGAAAACTAAATCTGAAATATACTGCAGACGACTGACGACAAAAACCGCGCTTTGTGCTTAGCTGTTTATAACAACGAAGGAAAAATTTGAAAGTCTCTATTACGAGGGTGAAAACTCACTCAGTATAACTTCGTCGTGACACAAGGAAAAAGCGGTGAAATTATCAACATTATATAACCTCAGCCGTTTTCCCCTATTTACTCCCGACCTATTATTCTGTATATTCGTGCATACTGTACGTTGATGTACTCTACCGGTAAAAGCCAAACAAAGTCGTTAATGAGTAATGAATGTACTCCATAATATGGACAACATTATCCATTTGACTGAGATCCCACCTAGCGCAAGGTGAGATGTCATTTAGCCAAGCTGGCTCGTTTCTCGTATGAGGCGCCTGTAAATGAGTGCATATTTACAATATACAAAACATGATAGGAACATATCACAAGGGTAATCTCTACATGACACAACAAGAAAACAAAAGAAAACTCATCGTTTGTTTCAGAATCGTTTTTTAAAGGAGTTTGCAGAATTTTTTTTTCCTCAAAAGGAAGATTATTCCAAAGTACGGCACCATTGTAGCCGAAGCACCGTTAGCCAAATTCGTTCTTGGGCTAAATCAGTTTCTCAAAGGTTATATGTTAATATGTGTGACCTGTTTCATTGTTTAGTTAGACTGCGAGCAGTCCCTCGTTATGAGAAAAGGAGGGACTGCAGACAACACATCAAGAAACGAAATACGCGTTGCCCACACAACGCAAATTTACGATTGGTTGATTGGCAGATCCCTTTTGTTGATATGGTTTATTGACAGATCTTAATTGTATTGTTTTTCAAATGTGAAAGTCAACCGTCAAATTATGTCATATTAATTAAATCTCGTAGCATTTTCATTCATACTGTCTGAAAGCGTTTAGTAGGCCTATGTTATTTCGAGCGAATACAATTTAATGTAAAACTATGTATTTTTACTTGTATTATATAGTAATACTGTGTATTTTTGCTTGTAAAACGTAATCGTCGTCGTTTCACTGCATGTAAACTTGAATTTTCACTTTTAAACCAATACGATACGCGTTGTAAATGGTAGACACCTTAAGATTGACGTTTACGGCAAACGTCAAACCGCTAGCGAAGTTTTTGATTTTACCACTCTATTATAATAGCTTTTACACCAATTTTGAAATATGTTAAACAATTATTAAACTTGTGGTATTTAACAATGATTTAAGAAAGCAAATGAACCACTAGTCATGTATTCACCAAAGCAGTAAATCAAGATTTGTCGTTTGAAGTTTACGTTTGGCGTATAAATTTCATGCTTGAACGACTACAAGCCCTCGTAGCAGTTCAAGTATGAAATTTATACGCCAAACGTAAACTTCAAACGACAGATCTTAATTTACTGCTTTGGTGAATACACGACTAGTGGTTAATTTGCTTTCTTAAATAATTCCTAAAGAGCACAAGTTTAATAATTGTTTAACATATTTCCAAACTGGTGTAAATGCTATTATAATAGAGTGGTAAAATCAAAAACTTCGCTAGCGGTTTGACGTTTGCCGTAAACGTCAATCTTAAGGTGTCTAATAAGAGATGATCCTTACTGGACCTCTAGGAAGAACAGTTTAGAACTGATAGAACTATCCAGTATAAATAAAGTTAGTTTAGGTTTTCTCCTGTAGTAACACTGGATCAATAAGAGATGATCCTTACTGGACCTCTAGGAAGAACAGTTTAGAACTGATAGAGCTATTCAGTATAAATAAAGTTAGTTTAGGTTTTCTCCTGTAGTAACACTGGATCAATAAGAGATGATCCTTACTGGACCTCTAGGAAGAACAGTTTAGAACTGATAGAGCTATCCAGTATAAATAAAGTTAGTTTAGGTTTTCTCCTGTAGTAACACTGGATCAATAAGAGATGATCCTTACTGGACCTCTAGGAAGAACAGTTTAGAACTGATAGAACTATCCAGTATAAATAAAGTTAATTTAGTTTAGGTTTCCTCCTGTAGTAACACTGGATCAATAAGAGATGACACTTACTGGATCTCTAGGAAGAACAGTTTTGAACTGATAGAGCTATCCAGTATAAATAAAGTTAATTTAGTTTAGGTTTTCTCCCGTAGTAACACTGGATCAATAAGAGATGACACTTACTGGATCTCTAGGAAGAACAGTTTAGAACTGATAGAGCTATCCAGTATAAATAAATAAAGTTAATTTAGTTTAGGTTTTCTCCTGTAGTAACACCGGATCAAGAGATGATCCTTACTGAACCTCTAGGAAGAACACTTTAGATTTTATAGAACTATCCAGTATAAATAAAGTTAATTTAGTCTAGGTTTTCTCCTGTAGTAACACCGGATCAATAAGAGATGATCTTTATTGCACTTCTAGAAAAACATAAATAAAGTTTAGATAGATTTCTTCCCATCACACTGGAGCAATGAGGGGATATCCTTACTGGGCCTCTAGGGAGAACGGTATCCAGTATAGATAAAGTTAGTTATATCATGCTTTTCCTACAATTCTCTTACACATTTTCTTTTTTCAGAATTCTGTTACAAGAACGCGAAGAGAATGAACAACAACTTCAACAACAAGTGAAATTTTATCAAGACGAGCTACAGCGTGAATCGGAAGATAACGAAGTACTTCGGAACACACTTTCCCATCTTGAAGAACAGATAAACAGTGATAAGGAACAGCGAGCTGACTTGGAAAGTAAACTTGTTCAAGTTACAAATGGCAGTGAAAGTCTAAAACTTGAAATGGAAAACTTGCAGAAAGAAAATGATAATTTACTCACAGAGAAAGAAGTAATGCAGGGTGAAGGTTTTGAAGTGAATGAGGTGATGAAGAAATTGCAGGAGAATGGAGAGGCAAAGGATTTGGAGATTGCGAATTTACAAGAAAATATAAAAAGAAAGGAATCTGAGATTGTAGAATTACAACAGAATTTGCAAAGAAAAGAAACTGAAGTTTCTGAGCTCCAACAAAATGTGGAGTCAATCACGGAGTTGCAAAACAGTCTCGAGGCGAAAGATTTCGAAATTGTGCACTTGCAAGAGAATACACAAACAAGAGAAGCTGAGATTAAGGAATTGTTGCAAGCAAAAGACGCTATAATTACGGACTTGCAGCAGAGTCTTGAAGGAAGAGTAACAGAAATATTTGAGTTGCAAGACAGTATCGCCGGGAAAGAAAACGAAATTGTTGAAATAAAAGAAACTGTAACTGAGTTGACACAAAATGTTCAAGGAAAGGAAAGAGAAATCTGTGAATTACAAAATAATATCGCTGCGAAAGACACAGAAATCCAGGAACTAAAAGAGAATATCAAAGCGAAGGAGGCTGTAGAAGATGAACTCACAAACGCTAAGAAACTGCTAACGAAATTGAAAAAGAAATTTACCAGTTTCCGAGACGAGAAGCAATCAGAGTTGGAAGGAAAGGATGAAGACATCTCGCGACTGTTAGATCGCGTGGCAGGTATGTTAGCTTGTAATATTTCTAGGAATTAAATAAGCTCTGCTTAAACGAGTGTTTTCTCACCTCAATGTCAAACACTAAAAAGCACTAAATCAGTTCTCTCAAACATTTTTTACGTTTTGTTACGTTTTAGGGTTAGGTTAGGGTCCGGGTTAGGGCTAACCGGCAGGGTGTTAGCCAGAAGTAAAAAAAAGCGTTTACCTGAAATTGGGAAATTTATTTTAGCCTGAAGCAGGGCATTTCTTTGTGGGTCTGGGGCATGCGGTTGCCTCCTCTGATTTTTAAAATTTTTGTGTCTTTGAAATGGCATTTCCGCATTTTGGGAGTAATTTTGAGCAAATGTAGTTATAAACATGTTTTTAATGGCTTAACAACATATTGACGGCAAGATGGACGGCAAGATACGGTACTGGTCTATTATCAGATGTGAAAAAAATAATTGAATTTCTATAACTATTTTTTTGCTGACCCAAATTGGGAAATTGCCACCTCAAGGTAATTGGGAAAACCGCGTTTAACGTGGAATTTTTTACTGCAGCTAACACCCTGAGTTGTTAGAGTTAGGGCTAACAAAACGTAACATTTACCTTTGCAAAATTTTTACTGTGATCACAGAAACTTTGAGACCAGCTTTTAAACTTGTTCGTTCTTTTATTCAGAGGTGGAGAACTTGCGCCGTAGCGAGGGGCAGAGTGTTGACGAAGAGATTAAGAAATTGAGTGAGAGAATTCTTGAAGCTGAGGAGAAACATCAAGGAGTTATCCAGGCAAAGAATGATGAGATTAATACTTTGAAGGTAATATGATGTTTTAAGTAATGGGCTTTAGTAGAAACAATAAGTAAGGAAATTAATTGACATAATTCCTGAAGCTGAGCTCTCCAGGCAGATAATCATGAGATTAACATTTTGAAGGCAATGTATAATATGATACAGATATCTTCAATGTTTTCAGCAATGAACTCTTTGGTTTGCCGTTTTCTTCTTGCAGATATTTCAAACAAAACGTCAACTGTTTATCACCGCGGTCTGTTTACCACATCCCGATTTCACATAAGAGAAGTTCATATTTGATTTCCATTGTACAAGCATGCACCAATCAGATGTGTTTGATACATCCAATTAACCAATCAGATGTGTTTGATATGTCTGATTAACCAATCAGATGCGTTCTAAAAAAATTTAAAAACGAAAAAAGCCTGTTAGTTCTAACCTTGGCCCTAATATTTGTGTATTTAAGTGTAATAGACTATGCATAATGCCGTCACAGGGCTTGATGCCCGCGAGGAATGCTGGTCTTAAGGCCATGCAACTTGCAATGCAATTCTACTCTTGAAAGATGTAAAATTGTCAAATACGAGTCTTCATTACACTTCGCTGATGTATTCTCAACATATCGAAAATTCTTCACTGATTTCACTAATTAACATCTTTCAAGAGTCTATAGAATTGCATTGCAAGTTGCAAGAAAAATTGCACCGTGTAACATGGCCTTTAGTAGTCATCGCCCGGGAAAATTTTGAAAGTAACCATTTTGACTTGTTTAATTTTCCTGGGCGATGACTTCTAAGACCAGCATTCCTTGCGCACATAAAGCCTTGTGACGTCATTATGCATAAGGTTTATTTACTATATTGCAAAGTCACTCTCTCATTTCTGTTTCAAGGAGAGGGTGAGAAATGTTGAGCTAACCAAGGATGAAGAAACACAAGAAAAAGACAACAGAATATCAGACTATGTTGAACAACTCAGGCAAACACAAGAACTTCATGATAAGTATGTTGTTGATAAAGATAACGAGATATCAAATATGAAAGATGAATTCCAACTGGAGTTAGATCAAAACAATGAGTTTGTTCTTAATCAGATCAACGTACTAAAACAAGAATTAGCTGATAGCAGGTTGGTGTCTTTAATGTCAGGATATCTATAATATTAGGATTTGGGGACATCTTACTCGATTAAACACGGGCAGGAAAAAATAGGGGGGAGGGGGATTTGCCTGACTTTTTCCTATTGTGCCCGACTTGTCCAAAAAAATATTTTCTTGCAAACTTAATTGATTAGAGTTGTAATGCAACACAGCGTCCTTATAAGTTCTTTATGATTAGCACGTTTTATTTTACAACTGTACACTTTATTTTGTCACTTAGATCAGCTTTGTCTGACGAGGAAAGTGAGGCTGAAACTTTGAAAAAAAAATTATCAAACCACGCAGAAGAGTTAGAAATAATTAAACTTGAACTGAAGGATAAAATGACGACCTTGGCTGAGACTCAGAGTGAACTGGAATCTTTGAGGAACCTTGTCTCTGATGGTCAAACACAATCTGATGATGTCCAAAAAGAATTACAGAGAGTTAAGGAAGCTCTGATGGAAACCCAGTCTGTCTTAGGTGAGCATACGGCTTTCTCACTATAATTATACTGGCTAGCTTTATCAGTTCTAAACTGTTCTTCCTAGAGGTCCAGCAAGGATCATCTCTTATTGACCCAGTGTTACTACAGGAGGAAACCTGAACTAGACTAACTTTATTTATACTGGATAGCTCTATCAGTTCTATACTATTCTTCCTAGATATCCAGTAAGGATCGTCTCTTATTGATCCAGTGTTACTACAAGAGAAAACCAAAACTAAACGAACGATAGCTTTATCAGTTCTTCCTCGAAGTCAATTGATAACATGCATTATTTATGAAGGGTTCAAACGGAAGCCGCATTACCGGATGCGATGTTTGGTAAAGTGAAACTGAAAACACTCTTCCCAATTCGAACAATGCGAAATTTTAATGACCGAAGTGATAGTCGTCTGCACTAACTGTTGCTCACAGAAACCGTTTAATGAAAACTCATTTTGTGTAGGTGAAAAAGAAACAGAGCTGACCACACTAACAGCGCAACTTGTTGAAAAAACTACAGCTTTGTCTGAGACTGAATCTGTCGTTGAGAGCTTGAAACAACAGCTAGCTGACATCGACAATGAACTACAGAACAAGCAAGCGTATGAACAACAATTGTTAGAAACATCGCGTTTGAAAGATGAGGAGATCAGCCAGCTGAAAGAACGAGCTCCAGTCGTTCAGGAAACTGTTGTCCGGCAAGACGTGAAGGAATCCCAGGAGTTACCTGTTGTTCAGGAGGCTGTTGTGGCAGTGAAACAGGAGGTGGTTGAATCGCAAGTTGAAGAATTACCTCCTTTGCTTGCAGCGGACGACACTGGCTCACAAGAGAGCAGCTTGCGGTCACAGCTCCAAGATAAAGAACTAGCATTCCAGAAACAAACTGAACAACTTCAGTTAGTCGCCAAGAAATTCGCTGTGATGAAGAAAAAGTTTGGGGCACAAAAAGATCAACTTAAGGAGCTTAATGATACCATCAAGAAACTAAACGAAGAAAAGAATGAACTTGTCAAGTCTTGTGAAGATTTGAACGAAAAATTGTCTGAATTTAGAAAATTGTCAGCAGAAAAAGAAGTGTTAGAGAATTCCCTGAATTCTAAAGATACTATCCTGGAATTATTGAACTCTGAGGTCGATCGTTTCCAGGAAAATGTTAACATGATGAATGACGAGAATCGTGGTTTGAAAACATCACTTGAAAGTAGAGATGGCGAGGTGTCAATGTTACGAGAGCAGCTAAATACTGCTTCTGAACAATTGGAAGTTATGGAAGGTTTAGCCGCAGACCGCGATAAGTTAACTGAACAGTTAGTGTCAAAGAATGAGGAAATAACGTCATTGTCCGCGCGACTTGAGAAAAGTCGGAATTTGGTGTTAGAGAAAAAGGCTGAAGTTCAAGCTCTTAAACAAAGTGTTGATGAAGATTTTGCAATTCATTCTGAGCAGCTACAAATATGGAAGAACCATGTTGAGTCTGGTTCCCATGAAATTTCCGAACTTAAGAGAGCCCTTCAACAGAAGGACAGTGAACTTGAAGAATACCAAAAGAAGTTTGAAAAGCTTCATGGTCAAGTGGAAAAGGGATCTGAAAAGATATCAAAGTTACAGACAGAAGTTCAGGAGAAAGAAAATGAAATTGAGGAAAGTGGAAAGGAAATTTCGTTCCTTCAAAGTCAGTTAGATCACAAGGTTCGAGAGAAATCTGAACTATCAGACGATATCATGCGTTTTATGAATGAGAACGAACAATTGAAATTAGAACTAGAATCAAAAGCATCGGAATGTGATGTATCAGAGATGCAGACTTTACGAACACAGTATGAAGAACAGAGTACAGAGTTGGCCAATCTGAGACTGGAGTTCGATCACGACGCTCGGCGCCAGGTTGAGGCTATGGAACAGAAGGATGCGGTGATAGAAGAATACGAAAAACAATTTGAATCTCTGCGCAGTGAAGTTCATGAACTGGAGCGTGATGCCCGACGGCAAGATGAGATTATGGAGGAACTCGTAGAACAGAAGCGTAGTTTGGAAGGACTGCTTCAAGTTCGCGATGTTGAGTCAGATGATCTACGCCACAAGATCAGTGAACTGGAAAACCTCAAGGAACAACACCAAGTTGTTTCTACGAATTTTGAAAAAATGGTGTTAAAAAAAGACGCTGAAATTGAGCAGCTGAATGAGTCGCTTTCCGAGAAATCAGGTGTGGTCGAAGAACTGCGAGACAATGTAGCTGGTCATAAACAGCAAGAGGCTGAGTTCCAGGAAAAGATTACTGAGTTCCAGGAAAAGATTACTGAGTTAGAAAATGAAAAACGAAACTTTATTTCTGAGTTAGAAAACTCTAATTCACAGCGAAACTTTGCAAGTGATTTGGAAGGAAGATTAAAAGATACCGAAGAGCATCTTGTTCAATCACAATCACATCTTGAAGAATCTCAAAACAGAGTGCATGAATTCCAGGAATTACTTAACGACGCACGAACAGCTTTGGAGCAGTCTGAGAGAAAGAACTTAGAAATTCAAGAAACGTTAGAGGACTATGTTAACCAGAAAAACGCTTTAGGAGTTAGCTTGAGTCACGCGGGAGAACAGGTCGTGGAGCTGAGGAGTAAAGTTGAAAGCCTTGAGGAAAGTTTGAGTCGAAAAAATACAGATATTGATACTGGGATTGAGTCACTGAAATTGGAGATTAAGAGAAAGGACGATCAGATAGAGTTGTTGAAATCAAAGATTGAGGGTAATGCAGGCTTAGTAGATGAATTATCAAAAGAGCTAGAAGTCGCAAAGTCAACAATCACTGATTTGGAACAAAGATTTGAAACAAAGAAAGAAGACGTGAAAGAAGTTGAGTTGGTCCAGAGAAGTGAAGTAGAGAGTGTTGAAGAAACGCCTGGGGAGTCGAGCAATGTGGCTTTAGAAGAGAGAATTGCTGAGTTAGAGAAAGAACGGCTTCAATTGAGGAAGAAACTTGCCACTGTTAAGAAAGCGAGTGTTGAAATTGGTAAACAACATAAACAACTTCAGAATGGTCTTTCTCAGAAAGACAAAGAAATAGCTCAGGTTACTTCAGAGAAACAAAACATTCAACATAAGTTAGAGAAAGCCATTGATGGACTTAAGAATGAGAAAGATTCAATGGAATCCGAATTTGAGGATACTGTGAAGGAACTGAAGGAAATTACAAGAGAGAATCAAGATTTAACTAAGGAAAGAGATTCTTTGAAGGCGCTAATTCAAAATCTGGAATCTGAAAAAGAGTGGAATTTCTCAGAACTTGAGAATTTGAGAACTGAAGTAGATGAGAAAACGAATGAGTTTATGGAACTGGAAAAACAACTTGAAGAGGCGAAACAAGATTTTGATGATCTGTTGAAGAAACGGATAGAGGAGGTTTTGATGGAAAAAGATTTGGAGAAAGCTGACTTTGAAGAAGATTTTGCTAAGCAAGTGCAAGACGTCTGTGTTCAGAAAGATCAAATTATTTCTCAGAAAGATGAAGAAATCTCAGAATTGAAGAATAGAGTTGAAGAAGGAGGGCTGAATTCTGAGAACGTGCAAGTTGAGATGGATAACTTGAAACATGAAATCGAGACTAAAGATAAGCAGATATTGGACCTTAGTGAAAGACTGACAGCCATAGACAATAAAGAAACAAATCAACAAGATATTGATGAAGACAATTCTGAGAAGTTGTCATCTGAATTAGAAAATGTGAAACAGCAACTCTGGGCTAAGAATGAAGAATTAGAACAGTTTAAGGTGAGTCTTAAACAAGACGGCAGCGAAATGAAAGTTCCAGAACTCATGGTCGAGATTCAAAACTTGAAAGATGAAGTTCAAATCCTCGGAGATGGACGTGAGGCCCTCGATAAGAAATTACACGAAGTACTCAACGAAAAACAAAAGCTTTATGAACAACTACAAGCAGCGTGTAAGGAACGAGATGAGTTAAAGAACGCCGGAGGGAGTGATGGTCAGATGGATAGTGTTATTGAGGAAAAAGATAAGGTTAGAGTCTTATTTATCACCAAGCTATCATGGTTTGTGTCTACGTTTGGTAATTCAGACACAAACCACGACAACCATATTATGGAATACTACCTACACTGGACCACCACGTTTGAGATATTTTTCAGGTAGTTCAGACACAAACCACAACAGCTTATTATAGAATACTACCTACACTGGACCACTACGTTTGAGATATCTTTTTCAGACAGAAAATTACGACAGCTTACTGTAGAATACTACCTACACTGGACGTGTGCATGTTGTTCTAATAATGAACTGTATTTTTCTCTTTCAGAAAATCGCCATGCTGAAAAAGAAATTGAAAGAATTACGAAGAGAGAAAGCTGCTTCCGAGGCCAACCAAATCACGGAGGTTGAAATTACTCCCCACATTGTTAATGAGGTTTGTTCCTCATTTCCAATTTTGTTCTAATTAGTTATTTTACAGCCTGTTTATATGGAAGCTGGGCTGGCCGGGCTGTGTCGCTAAACGGGCCACCGGGCTTCTATATAAACAGCTCTTTAGAGAGAGATGTATACAAATTTGGCGCTCGACAAAAAGTAGTAGAAGTGAATCATACTTTTCGTCGAGCGCCAGAAATTTAATTGTCGACTTTTCTCTGACAGGTTTTCCAAAAATCTGAGATGTCGTCAGTGGAAACACTTCCAGACAATAACATGGACCCGAACAAACATAAAGAGGAACTTGATCACCTTCGACACGAAAGAAATGTCTATGAAGAAAGTTACATCAGAATACAGCGAGAACTGGATCAGACACAGAAAGAAAATGAATCTCTCCTTGAAGATCTTAAGTCTAAACAAGATCTAATTGATGGTTTTGATGCAGAACTACAGCGAGAGAAAGATGTTGTGAAGAACGAGATGGGAGTAAAGGTGCAGGAAATGAGGAGTAACCTTGATGAACGAGAGAAAGAGTTGATACAGAATCATCTGGAAGAGAGATCGAATATGGAAAGTTTGATTGGAGAGTTAAAGGTAAATGATGTAAAACTACCTTTACTGAATAGCTTTGTCAGCTCTTCTTACTTCCCGACGAAGCGCCGCTCGAAACCAGGGCAGGAAAAACGAATTTTCTTCCTGGAAGCTCAACCTAGAGACAAAAATTTCCTGCAAACCAACGGAGTATTTTTGTGTTAAATCTGCATAAACATTTAGTGTCTTAGCTGACCATGGTTTTAAATTGAACAACCCTATGTTTTTGCGCCCATAGTGGGACATGGGTGTCAAGGTTTCTTTCAAATTTTCAATAGCGACTCTTCATTCAAACGAATTTCCTGCAGCTGTTTAACATTTCCTGCGAGTAGTGCTCGCCTATTTTTTCCACCCCTGCTGGAAACTGCGACGTTCTCCTTGCATTGTTCAAGTAGTTGTATCTCTATCAATCCGAACCTTTGTCAGTTGTAAACTGTTCTTCCCAATGGTCCTGTAAGATATTTTCCCGTTTGTGTAGGGAGAAAAACTGCGAGTGAGCGATGAAATGGTCCAGTTGAAAGAAGAGATCTTAGCTCTTGTTAATGAGAAGGAAGACTTAGGTCGCGAGAGATCTGAAGTCAAACATTCATTAGAGAATGTTTCTGAACAACTGGAGACAGCACAGAATGAACTGGTTACGCTTAAGGTAACGATTAGTTTTAAAAAGATTTGAATAGACACTCCGAAAATAGTTAACATTTTATTTAACGTTTCGACTAGGTTTCAGTCATCATCAGGAATGACGCTGTTGAAAAATACTGAGATATATATTTACAAGTTAAGCGGATCAAATTACGCGCTAATTAAATATCACAAGTTCCTTTGAGGCTTTAGTTCCGTGATTAAGTTCCGGTTTTTGGCGAAAAGCCAAAATAAATAAATATCTTGTAAATATATATCTCAGTATTTTTCCACAGCGTCATTTCCTGATGATGACTAAAACCTAGTCGAAACGTTGAATAAAATGTTAACTATTTTCGGAGTGTCTATTGTTTTGTTCTTTTTAAAATTTCTCAATGGTAACGATTAGAGCTGTGCGGTTCCAAAAATTTTATCTCGGTTCCGGTTTCGGTTTTTTTGGAACAAAAAAACCTCGGTTCGGTTCGGTTATTTTCAAAAAAGAAGAACACTACAAATGTATGAACTCATTTATGTATGTTTCGAGCATTTTTACTAAATCGATGAATTTATGCGTTTGTAAGTTTGTATAAATCTCTGAATATTTTAAAAGAACAATTGGAATTTATTTATGAAGTTGTAATATTTCTTAGTTTTTAAAAAAATTTAAAGCAAGTTCACAAAAATAACTATCACAAGTAAAATATCAACTATTTGAGCACTTAGTACAGTGCATATTGTGCACAAAGAGCACAATCTTGTTATTTTCCAAACAATTCAACCTGCAATCAGGTGGGCGTTAAACGGGAAATTAAAACCGAAACTACCGGTTTTTTGCGTATAGTTTTTCGGTGCTGAAAAAAGTACCGGAAGAACCGAATTTTTCGGTTAACCGCACAGCTCTACTAACGATCAGCCATTCCGAAGTTGATGAGAGAACTGGGGACGAGGGTTAAAAAGTGCCAAATTAAGAAATGAAGCGAATCACTAAAAAGACCACCTCTAAATTAGTATGTAAACAAAGATGTTCACATGATTTCCCTTCGATTAACAAGCTTTCGAAACTCATTATGACTTGGGGTTTTTTTTTCATGCAACTCATTATGACTTTTTTATGTAATTCATTATGACTTGTTTTTTTTTTATGTAACTCATTGTGACTTGCCTCTTGAAGACTGCAGACTGGCAGTCGAAAGCTCGTTTAATAAATCTTTGAAAACCAGAGATCGTTGACACTAGTTTCTAACTGAAACTGTCGTTCTTGTTTCTAGGGAAAATGCCAAGAGTTAGAAGACGCGAACTCTCGTCTTCAAAGTGATGTCGACGTGAACAAGAAGGGGAAAGTGAAACTGAAACAAAAGCTGAAAGAAACCTTGAAACAACTGGAACAAGAGAAATCTGCTCTACAGCAAGAAATACAAGATGTTAAAACAGAGAAAGCTGAGACATGCAACGCATTGCGGACTGAGTTTGGTACAGCTTTAGACAGCCGAGATAACATACTGGGTAGCTTAAGAGAGAAACTGGCAGTTTTAAAAGCTGAGAAGTTGGAGTGTGAGGAGAAATATGACTCAGAAAATCGAGAATTGAAATCAAGGCTAAAGGAGAATAATGACAAGAATGTCAAGTTGGAATCTGAGGTTGCAGAGTTGAAGTCCAGTTTGGAGAACGTGGGCGCAGAGGTAGCACAAGTACGTCATGAGAAGGATAATATTGGGGATTCAGTCAGAGCGGAGTTTGATCATATTTGCTCGGGATTAAGAATGGATTTAGAACGAGTCTTGAAGGAGAGAGATGAGATTGCCCGAGCTATGGAGGTAAGATGCAACAATTAACCACTTTAGTTTTATTGGATAACGATATAAGTTTTGACGCGACTTAAATAAGAACAGCTAAAAGTCCTGTTCTTATGTAAGACGCGTCTTATCCAAGACGCGTCTTACATAAGAATTTTGTACCTTTTATACGACAAACTGGCGTCTTACTTAAGTCGCGTCTTATGTAAGTCGCGTCTTATTTTGTTCCGTATAAATGGCCCTATTGTGCATTGTGTGTAATCAACTACTTGTAACCGCACATGTTATTTGGTGGAGTAAACTCAACACAACTTTACTTCTTAAGGTGGGTCGTCTCGGTCTGGAGAAACAACTCATTGATAGGGAAGAGACATTCGACGGACTACTCCAGATTGTCAAAGAAAAAGACGAGATCTTAAGTTCCGAGAATTTGGCGACATTGAAAGCGGAAGTAGAGCGTCTGAGGCTGGAACTGTCTACAGAACACGTGACCTTGGTGCAACAGCGAGGATTGGTTGAACAGAAGAATGTGGTCATTCAAACTTTGGAAGATGATAAGAAGAGACTGTTGGCTGAGAGGGATGAAGTTTTGGTAAAAGCAGGCAAAGAGGTGAGACAAAACCCTGAGTTTCCCTTGAGTGTCAGTGCTGTTTTTGAATAGCTGGAGGGTGAGTAATCACATAAGATACGACACTAACCCTCCAGTTATTCAAAAACAGGAATGACACTCAAGAGAAGCTAAGATTGAACCTCCTCTCTCTGAGTGTGAGTAAGCTTTTACAATACAGGCGTTAGAATTTATCTATGCAAATTTCCTACTAATACAGGCGTTAGAATTTACCTATGAAAAATTCCTACTGTGATCACAGAAACTTTGATAGTATAAACCAGCCAGTATAATGCGAACAAGTACTGTTTTCATTGGATATATTTTCCATCCAATACAAGGTAGTGAACAATATGAACGTTTTTAAATATGATTTCATCGCGCTCAAATGTTCAGCCGTGTGGGTGTTTTTCTCGCTGGAAAATTGAGAGTGTTTTTTACAAATATTTCACACACACTCGGCAGAGAATTCTGAATAAAATATATGACAACATTTAATTGTATTTTGTACAGCTTGTCGAAGTTCAGTCATCGAAAGACGCTATGATTAGAAACTTAGAAGATCGTGTATCAAACCAAGCTGAAGATCAGAGAGTACTGAACGAAAAATTCGAAGAAGTTTCCAGGGAATTCCGTGAAATAAACGACCACATCGTGTCATGTATCCAAGACACAAACCAAGATACATCGCTACTTGAAGTACTTGACCTCGAAACCCAAACAGCTGGTGATATGCGCATGCGTAGCAACAAGATCGTGAGTCAATTGTTGGAGAACTGGACCGAGTCTGAAAGGAGGTTCGAGAAACAGAGCAGAGACTGGGAATCAAGCGAGGAGAGCTACAAATTGGAGACGGAGAAATTGCAAAATGAGAAAGTGGAAACATGCGAGGCCATTGCAAAAGAGTGGCAAGGAAAGATGGCGGATAAGGAAGAAGAGATGGAAGCACTGGTGATGAAGTTTGATGAGAAGCAGAAGGAAAATGATAGAATTAAAGTGGAAATGGAAAAAGCCAAGGAAGTTGTGGAAAATGAAAAGAACGATCTGTTAGTTGAAAAGGATGGAATATTAGAACAACTAAAAGACACTGGTTTGAAATTAGAAGAGAACGAACAGCAGTTGACAGTTTTGAAAGAACAGATTGAGAAAGACAGCCATGATATTGAAGAGTTAAGTGAAGAGAAAGAAAGACTTGTCTCCAGCAACGAAGAGTTAGAGTCGACCATCGCTCAAGCCAAGGAAGAGATTGACCGCCTTCAACTGGATATTGAAGTTTTCCAAAATGAACGCAACCATTTTGAACAAAGCTTGATTGCAAACACGAAACGCAGTGATGGACAATTCCTGAAATTATTCGAAATTCTTGGAAATGAACAAGAGATTGAAAATATAGAGCAAGTGAAAGCGCAGTTACCAGAAATGTTATCAGATATCGTCAGACAAGTTCAAGAAAATTCGAAAGTTCAGGAAAATTTGCGAGAAGAAAAAGCTCGAGTTTGTAATAAGATACGGGAAGAATTTGAAAGTGCTTTGATTGAGAAAGAAGGAATATTGGAGGAGCTTCGAGGAAAGTTGAAAAACACTCACTCTGAGTATGATGACGTTAAACGACAGAACGAAGACCAAAGACGTCAGATGAAAAATCTCGAGGGACAAGTTTCCGTGCTACGTAGAGAAATAGAGACAAGTAAAGCGAGTGACGTTGTGGACATTTCGGGAGATGATAGGACACATGGGGTCGTTGAAGAAGATGTAATACGGCCTCGTGTTGTTGAAGAAGTTATGACAGCGACGTCATCAGATTCATTAATGGCAGAAGATGGAGTCTTTGATTATGATATACAATCAACTACAAATAACACGACCCTTAAGAATCAATTAGAGTCACTTACGAATGATAACGCAAAACTCAAAGAACAATTAGAAAACCTCCAAGTTTTATATAGCGAAAGGAACTTACAGATTGCTGCTTTGCGTGGCGAAAATGAAACATTGAAAGACTTGGTGTCTAATTTAAATACCTCAGAACTCGTGGAAACTAATGAAAGACTTCAACGCGAAATAGAGCGGCTGCAATTAGCTAATGAAAATCTACAGAATGAAACTAACGGGAATATTGAGCGAGAGAAAGAAACTGGTGACTTCGAAAGTCCAGTAGTAAACTCCTTAAAAGAGCAACTTCAAGATTCCTCCACACAAATCTCTCAACTCAAGGCAGAGCTCTCGGAGGTGAACAATGACCGAACAGCTTACGACAAGCTCCGAAGAGACTTTGATCATATTGTGTCAGGGTTAAGAGGAGACCTGGAACGAGTTATGTCTGATCGGGATAATACTGCCCAGATGTTGGATAGCTTGAGAGCTCAGGTACACGAGAGGGATGTGACGGGATCAAATGAAAATAGAAGTGGACACGATAAGGAGAAAGATCGACACTATGGTGATAAAGATGATACACGACAGGGTAATGAGGGACGTTCGTTGAAGGAAGTTGAAAAGGAGCTGGGAAGTTTAAAACAACATCTTCATGAAACGAGTTTGGTCAATCGGCAGTTGAAACAACTTGGAAAGAGTCTTGATGCGGAACTCAAGGAAACGAGAAAAGACAAACAACAAACTGAAAAAAAATGTCAGGATCTGAGAGACGAGATGGAGAGATTTGTGAAAGAGAAAGAGATCATTATTGTCGAGTCCAGAGAACGTATTGAGACCAGTGAGAGACTACATCAAGACAAACTACATGAAGTATTTCGAGTACACCAGGAAGAGCTGCGCAAAGCCACAGAACGCTCGGAATATAAAGAATTGAGCTCAGCCAATGAAGAACTGCAGATGAAACTAAATGATGCTTACGAGGAGATTAATAATGTTAGTCAACTGGAGGAAAATAACATTGCTTTGAAGCGAGAAATTGATGTTCTCAAGAACGAGAATGAAGTTCTAACAAGTAAAGTGGACGAACTGAGAAGTATGGTTGATGAAACTGAAAGACAAACGGAAATTTCAAAGAGTGAAAATGACGTTTTGACTGAGAAAGTGGAAGAACTGAAAGGCTTAGTGGATGAAGCGGATAAACAAATTGAACTCCGAGATGAGAAGATTTCTGAATTAAACAAACGTATACAAGAAAATAAGGAAAATGTTGGGTTGGAAAGTGGAAAAACTCCTGAAGCTAAAACCATTGATGACGTAGCGAAAGCCTACAATGACGTCATTCTACCGGACGTGGAGTCTCAAATTTGGCGCGAACCAGAAGGGCGAGAACTTATCAAAGCTGTGAATGCTTTAGAGCTTGAGGAGAAGCCTGCTGGAGTTATTGAGTATAGACCGGAAATGACGTCAGAAAGCGAGAAACTTGAACGAGAACTGATTCAAACTTCTGGTCACGTGACTGAGAACCAGCTCAAATTCCTTAAAGAAGAGGTAGAGAGGGAGGGGAGGGACAGGAGAATTGTCACCGAGCAACTCGAGAAAGAACGACAAGAACGAGCTGCCGTTTTCCAGGAATTAGAGAAGGTTAAAAAGATATCTCAGAAACTTAAAAACATGTTAAAGAATTCCCGAAGTGAAGTTGAAACATTAAATAAAGATTTATCTCAGACAAAAGATGAGATGGTGGAGAAAGAACAGTCGATGACGACACTTCGAAATGAAATGTCGGAGATTGTTTTGGAGAAAGAAGAAATTGTTAAAAAGTTGATGTTGAAGATTAAGGATATAGAAGTACAACGAGATGAAAGTTTGGAGAATTTAAAGTCCGAATATCAGGAAAACGTGGATAAGAGAGATGTTCGTATCGAGAAACTTAGCAAAGATTTAAGTGTGGCGAATGAAAGAGGAGATGAACTGAAAGGACAGTTGGATATGTGGCGACAAAGTTACAACGAAGTCAGTGAGAAAGAAAATATTCTTGAAAATGAGATTGAAGATCTAAGACATTCACTGCAAGGTAGTATTGATGAACTTCGTCAGAGTAAAGAGATTAGTAGTTTTGAACTTAGCAAAGCTCACGAGAGTATTGAAGAACTGAATCAACAATTGAGAACTGTCATTAACGATAAAGCCAGCAGTGATAAAACAAAGAATGATGCTGAAGCCAGTCATGCTTTGGTTAGAGAAGAACTGGAACATACTATCGCTCAAAGGGATAGCATTATTGCGAGTCTTCGCACCGAAGTGAAAACTGCTACAGAACAACTTGAACATGTGAGTGATGAGCTAGAGTTACAGAAGAGTTTATATGATGATTCCTTGAGTCAAAATGAAGAAAACCAAGTCAAGTTTATAAATTTACAAAATGAAATGAATACAAGTGAAAGTGAAAAAGATAGCGTTATACAACAGCTAGAAGAAGATCTTGAGAGAGCGAACGAAAGTTTATATAATATAACACAGAAACTGCAGGATAAAACTGTGGAATATCAGAATTTATTCACGGAGAAAAATTCCCTTGAAGAACAATTGAAGGAAACACAAGACGAATCGCAAAATACAAGTATTGTAAAAGAAGGTATTATTGCTGAAACTGGACGGAACCTTGAAATGGCAACGAGTCGGGCTGAGGGGTTAACTGAACAGTTGAATGAAAGTTTGAGTGTTTTGGGAAGTGAGAGAAGACGCAAAGAAGAATTGGACGAGATTTCTTACACTTTAAGGAAAGATTTAGAGTTACGAACTGAGCAGAAACGAGAGCTTGAAGAAGTTGTAATGGCGTTGAACATCGATCTAGAGAAAGCTTTAAAAGATCGCGAGGAATTACGGCAAGCTTTGAGGGTTAAACAGACTGTTACACAAGCCACTGACAATCCTTGTTTTGATGAAATTGTCGTGGAGGCGAAGATGAGGGAAATCACTCAAGTACAACAGAGATTGATTGATGTCGAACACGAGCTTGGTTCTGTTAATGAACAGTTGGCGATATCAAAGAATAGAAATGAAAGTTTGGAAGATGAATTAAAAGCTGCTGAGGTCAGTATACAGGATAGTTTGTCTAATGCTCAGAACGAGAAACAGCGTCTAGAGGAGGTTATATCTGGTTTAAAATCTGATCTGCAACATAGTAGTTTAACGAAGGAAGAGGCGATCAATGTTTTAAGAATGAAATTGGAAGAGGCTGTGGAAGAACGTGGTGGTGCTGTAGTTTCATTAAAGAATGAATATGATAAAATGCTCGGTGAAAAAGATCATGTTATTGCTAGCCTTCAGGATGAGATACAACGAGTTAATGAAGAATTTACTAATCTGGGATATCGCTTTGAGTTGACTTTACAAGATAATGTCAGCAAGGGAAATAACATCATGCAATTACAGAGTCAAGTTCAAGAGAAACAACAAATTTTGGAGGAGAATGGTGCATTACAAGAACGGTTGAAGACCATGGGAGAACGTATAACTAAACTAGAAAATGAAATTCGCGAATTGAATGAAGATAAGATAAGACGAGATTCCGAGAAACGGGAACTTGAGAATTCTCTAAATAAAGTCGTGGAATTAGAAAAGCAGATGGCGGCGAATATGAAAGAAAGTGAAGGGTCTAAGGCGAAACAGAAAAAGGAGTTTAAACGGTTGTACGAGGGGTTGCAGTTTGATCTGGAGAATTGTCGTAAACAAAATGTGGAAAAAGAGAAAGGTTTGCGAAATTTACGAGAAGAACTCGAGGAGATTATGAAACAAAAGGAAGCTTTAGCGTTGAAAGTTCGTAATCCGAGCAAAGAAAGAAGCATTGAACGTTTCCAGAAATCGGAGGATGGCGATTTCGTAGAAAGATTCCGAGATGAAAAGAAGGAATTATTACGAGATCTTGATAAGACTAGACAAGAGAAAGATGAAATATTTGCAAAGTTCCACAATATCAGTGAAGGACTGAGGCGAGATTTGGAGGCGGCCATAAACAGCAGAGATGAGAAGTCGCAAGAATGTTTAAAAGCTAATGTTCTAATTGATAAACTCCAGCGTTCTAATGCGGAATTGGAAGGAGAAATTAAGGAAAGGGATGCTACGATTAGTTCACTTCATTCAGGACTCCAAACAAAGAATACCCAGAGTTCAACTGCTGTTGAACAATTTCGCGCTGAGAATCAAAAACTCAAGTCAACTTTAGCTCAAGAGTCAATGAACGCTCGCGAAGCGATCGTAAAGATTCAGAACACAAATGAAGAATTGAGACAAAGTTTAGCAAAGGCCGAACATGATCGCGAGAATCTGCGAAATTATGTTGCCAGTAAGGAAGTTCAGAATGAAGAATTGAAGAGACAGTTGAGTAAAGAGACTGCTGAGAGAAAACGCCTTGCTGAAGAAGTACGCGGTGGTCTGGTCGAGATTACCTCCAGTACTGCGCAGGAGTACGATGTTTTGAACCAGACGAGGACAGATCTGGACGAGGTAAGAAAAAGTTGAAAATTTGCGGTTGAAATCTATGGGGTTTTATCATCACAGGCAACTGAGATGCAGGACAATTGGTATACCCGTCCTGTGTGGTGCAGAAAAAATCAACCACGATTCTGCTTACATAGAAACCATTTTTGCTGTGGCATATTTATTTGAAATTGTATTATTTCTATTGCCAGACGGACACAATGTTTAATGCAAGTATCAATGATGTTCCCCGAGGAGATGAAAGATTGAATAAACTTCTTGCAAGGTAAGATGTCCATTTTTTTTTCAATTTTCGTCTTTAAGGCATCCATGCTTATTACCGTGGTATAGAATAGAAAAACTTTATTTGTCCACGCTAACCCTGTCAACCGAGGCTGATTTCCACAGGGGGCGTGTAAAAAAGAATTACAAAAATATAGTATAAGGTATTTAAAGCTATTTACAATCTATAGTATCAAGTTATATAAACTATAAGTAAGTCATGTATATATATTTACAAGTTTTCAGTTTCTTAGGATCTTGTTTTAGTTAAAGAATGTGAGTAGCAATTTTATTTTGAAAACATGACAGGGATTTGCTTTCCCTAATTTCATTTGGAATGGAGTTCCATAAGTGAGCACCGTTATACATGAAACTATTTTTCATGTTATTTGTTCGAGGTTGTGGTAAACAAAGACCACTGGAAATGTCCCGAAGTTTGTAATTTGTCATCCCACTTTTATAGGTGAAAAGGTTTGTGAGTGACTTAGGTAGGGGTGCACCGGATTTCAAATCCGGCCGGATTTAACGAATTTTCCGGCATCCGGCCGGATTTGGAGGCCGGATTAAATTTCTGTTTTCAGCTTAAAAAAAATCACCAAGAATGGGATAAACCGTCAATTTGGCAGCTTTACTGTTGCTCAAATATTGATTCAATACATTACCTCGGGCCGACCAATTCATTTGATCAAGTTCCTCGAGATATTCATACACTTCCTGTGAAAGAGCCAATTCCAAGTATTTGATCATTTCTGGTCACTTCCTTTCTATTTATGATTGGTTATGAGTGTATGAATATCTCGAGGAACTTGATGAAATGAATTGGTCAGCCCGAGGTAATGTATTGAATCAATATTTGAGCAACACTTCAATTGGAACGACAGTAAAGTTTAAAAAGCCCTTATATTATTATAAAATATTAAGTTATTAACAAAAAGATATTTAAAAAAGGTTTAAACACAATCAAAAATCTAAACTGACACTAACTAAAAATAGTAAAAAACATAAACCGCCATTTTGAATACTGATTTATCCCCAATTGTTCCCATTACCGGTTTATCTCAAATCCGGCCGGAATTTTTGTCCAAATCCGGTAAATCCGGTTCCGGCCGGATTTGAAAATTCCAAATCCGGTGCACCCCTAGACTTAGGGCCCATTTTATTCAAAATTTTGTACATATAAAAGCCTTTCGTTTGTGTTTTGTCTAACATTATTCAAGAATTTGAGAGATGCTTTTCGTAATTGTGTGATGCTGCATGTTTAGACTTGCTGATGCCGATCGCGTGCAAGAAGAAACGAACTTACAGCTTTCTGAATTAGAGGTTAGTCGTCATTACATTATTGAATGAAATCAGTGACGTGACGGAGGAAGAGGGAGCCCTCAGGCATATTTGGTGGGCCCTGTTGACTGTTGTCAAAATGCTGTGTCTATAAATGTAACAGTCTCCAACACAATTGACAAGAATAACTTTTGTTTTATTTTATTTGAGATGGAACAACAAAATCAGTTACCGTTGTCGAAGTTAAAACCGTGTTTGTCAATGTATGAATATTTTGTTGTTTTATTTGAAGGCAACATTGCAACAAGAGATAGGTCGTCGGCAAGAGTTAGAAGTTCTACTCGAAGAACAACATAAGAGAAGAGATGTGAGTATAACCAATGACGGTATTGAATAAGATATCGAGTCAATCATGCTGCATGCACTGTGAATACTGTCTAAGGGCCTGTTCATATGATCCCGCTTACCGGGACGTCTCGCTTACCGAGACGAATATTTCCGTGCGTTCATATGGAGTATTTCGTCCCGCTTGCCGAGATGAAATTACGTTGTAGTTCTATAATTAGCGTATGCAAAACTTCTACATTTCAGTCAAGCAACACAAATACTTGGCGATTTTAGTGTTTTTCTTCGTTTATTTACAAGAAAAAGTATTGCTTCAGGTGGTTATTTAATACTTGTTTACAAAACAAACATAAAACCAAGTAAAAAGTGTTAAATTAAACCGGCAAGACTTGTTCACTTCATCCCGGTAAGCGGGCTGGCGTGTTCATATGGAAAAATTTTCATCCCGCCTACCTATGATCTCGGCAAATTCAAACGAGATCTCGGCAAGCGGGCCAGCTCGCTTTCTCATATGAACACAATGCAAAATTTTATAGGAAAATAGATAGGCGGCAAGATCATCGGTAAGCGAGACGTCCCGGTAAGCGGGATCATATGAACAGGCC